GGACCTGAAAGGGGTAGGCTTGGAATGAACACAGGACTATTAAGAGGCAAGGCAGAGCTTGTGACATGGGTTGGGCAGAGAAAAAGGGATGAGAATCCCTAAGAAGGGGGATTGCTTAGACCACTCTCCCAATATGACACAGACCTAACAGCATTGTGGGCGGTCCCCTCTTGCATCTGTTGCAGAATAAGGCCCCACTCAAAGCACAACAGGTTCCCAAGCACTGTGCTTTGAGGACCGTGTTAGTTATTTTATTTACTTTAGTGTATTTTTATTCTACCCTTTCTTAAAGGAGCTAGGAGCGGCATATGTCTGCCTGTGTTTTTTCATTTTACCCTCACAACAATCCTGTGAGGCTGAGACAGTGGGGAGATAAGTTAGGCAGAGACAGTGGGATGGCCCAGGGTCATCCATGACACACAGGATCCTAGTCCAACACTGGAACCAATAAACCAGGTGCACTTATTCCTTTTCCCACATGCAGCCTTTTCTCACACAGCAGTGGCATTTTTTCTTATGTGGGGTTATAATGAACCCAGCCCTGACCTGGATAGCCCAGGGTAGCCAGATCTCATTAGATCTCAGAAGCTAAGCAGGGTTGGCCCTGGCAAGTATTTGGATGGGAGACCTCCAAGGAATACCAGGGTTGCTATGAAGAGGCAGGCAATGGCAAACCACCTCTGAACATCTTTTGCCTTGAAAACCCCACAAGGTCACTTTACGGCACTTTCCACCACCAAAAATTAACCAGCAGGTTGGCTGGCAAGAAGCACTGCTTATGAAGCTTAAGTATTTAACTGCATATTCCTGGCTCTGAAGAGGCTGTGGGGGATTAGATTTTTATTCTGGGACATTACAAGCCATGAAGAAAGCGGGGTTACGTATCTCCACCTTTTTCCGTTATGAAATACTAAGCATTTACTTATACATATTTGCAGGCAGCAGGCAGCGATCCTGGAGGACTTGGTGAGGGACGTGCCCTTGGAATTTGACTTCCTTTTCTCTGAGTCGCATGCAGAAGTGATCTCAGGGAAGCAAGAAGGTAGGAGATAAGATAGGAAGGTTTGATCATGCTCTTCTGGGGACCTTGGCTATGCTTGGGGGGAGGGTGCTAAACTGTGCTGTACACAGCCCTAACCACCAGCAGGGATGCAACATGCTATAAAAGCTGTACTCTTTGTCTTGGCTTACCTACAGCAGCTAGTTGCTGATGGTACCTGTTACTGTGCAGTGTCTCACCCCTTCAAGGACAGGATGCTATCATTCCTTTAACTTCCCTGAGACCTAATGTTGTTCGTGGCTCTCTTCCCCTTAGGTGTCTATGCTTGGATAGGCATCAACTTTGTCCTGGGGCGATTTGACCATAAAGAAGGTGAGCCTGGAAGAAAGGACTGTGGGCATGAGGTCCTTGTGGGTGGACAGCAGCTTTCTTTAGGGGTGATCCTGCTATTAGGGGAGGGAACAATGTGTACATTGGGCTTAATTCCCAACAGGGATAGGGACCTGAACCTTCTCTTCTGGGATTGATTCCTATCCCCTATTTTCAGCAGGTCTGCAGGTGGGTGGGAATTATCTGAATCTTCTCCCCCTCCTGTATTTTCAGAATACATCCCAAATGAGGAAGGCAAGAGTGATTCCTTCCCCACTCCCTGTATGTTCTTTTTTTCTGAAATCTTGGTATGACGTTATTTAGACAGGTATTTAAAACTTAAGAGAAAGAATTCTTGGCAGTATCTGCTTACATAAACAAGCATAAGCTTCTTGGTCTCACAGACACCAAAGTTGGTGGAGGCAGGAACATTCACACAAGTTCCAGTTTCCTTCCTTATCCACTGGTTAGGGATCGCCCCCGTCTTCTAGGAGCTCAGACTTGATAGAGATGGTCTTCATGCCCCGTTTTCCTAACTCAGAATCCTTCTTGATCCTCTCACAGTCTCCTTTGCTCTCTCACTGTTAACTGTCATCTCCTACCTGAGACTCTGCACTGAAGAATTCCATCTGAATCCCCTGTTTCTCAAGGTTCTCAGAGTTACAGCCTTAACCATTTACTGTCCATCACACTTGGTAACACCCTTCTTTCTGGGATTGCAGAAGAAGATGCACTGGTTTCGGTGACTCTTGCTGGCCAAGAAGAGCCTCTATTGAGAAAGAGGACGGTTGGCATCCTAGATATGGGAGGTGCTTCTCTACAAATAGCATATGAGGTGCCTAGCTCTGCAGCCTTCTCTTCTCCACAGCAGGTGTGTAAATATTGGGCAAGGCAAGACAGAGGTGTTCTGTTCCAAGGTGGCCTCTGTCTTCTTAAGAATTACCCTACTGGATCAAAGACCCATCTAGTCCACCATCCTGTTTCCCACAATGGCCAATCAGATGCCTCAGAAGGGCCACAAGCAAGGGCAAAGAGGCCCAAACGTCCCCCTATTGTTCTCTCAGCATCTGGTACTCAAAGGTACTTTTAATAAGTACTTATTTCTGCCGGTCCTAGATCTACTGCCCATCAAATTCATTCAGTGCCCTAGTATTTTAGTAGACCATGTAGTTTTTCCAGCTATTATAAAGGTAAAGGCTTCCCTTGCTTAAAAGCCAGTTGAATCCGACTCTAGGGGGCAGTGCTCATCTCCGTTTCCAAGTTGAAGAGCCAGCACTGTCCAAAGATGTTTCCATGGTCATGTGGCCGGCATGACTAGATGCCGAGGTGCACGGAATGCTGTTACCTTCCCACCAAAGCAGTACCTATTTATCTACTTACAATTTCATGCTTTCGAACTGCTAGGTTGGCAGGAGCTGGGACCAGAGACAGGAGCTCACTCCGTTGCGTGGCACTAGGGTCTCTCGAACTGCCGAGCTACAGACCTTCCAGTCTGCAGCTAAGTGTCTTAACCACTGAGCCACCATGGCCCCTTTTTCCAGCTATACAAGGCCATAAAAGAAAATAGATAAATAAATATCCTGTTTTTTTAGTGAAAAGTTGCATTTACATTTGAATTCTGTAACACCACTCAGTTGTACTGTATCTGGACATGACTCACAAAAGTACACCTTTGTCAATTTGCCCTAAAATGTCATCTTGTTATCTCCACTTGACTGAGTTCTTCAGACAGCCTCCAAAACACCATGAGTAGTCTCTACTTCTTCCACAGCAAAGATTGCCACAATTTGTTAATTCTTCTAGGAGGAAGCTGGCAAGAGCCTTCTTGCGGAGTTCAACCTCGGCTGTGATGCACAACACACAAAGCATGTGTACCGGGTCTATGTCAATACCTTCCTGGGCTTTGGGGGCAACTTTGCTCGGCAACGCTATGAAGAATTGGTGCTGAATCAGACCACCATGCACAACAGGTATCCTTCCTTGCCTTCATAAACTCAGGTTGTAAGATCATAATGACAAACCAGGCAATGGGCCAGGGCGGGGGTGCCTGTGGGTAATGAAGGTGCTCTCTAGATCCTTAGGCCAATTCTGAATATAGGCAATAAACTGGATGGAGATAGCTTGATTTCTCCTGCTCATTTTAACAGCATTTTAAGAGGCTCATGGTGCAATGTGCTTCCCTTCTTAAAAATAAAAATCCCACTCTGTTCATATTATGAAAATCTGACTCCTCCTGAAGGTAGCTTGTTAAGTGTGCCTTCACTTGCCCATTGGGTCCAGCTGGCTACGTGATGGATCCACTGGGAGGCTTTTGTGGTGCCCTTTCTTTCAGAGTTTTGTGTTAAGACCTGATCTTCAGCCCAGAGGATCTTTGATGTTGTGATTCCTGCCAGTATAAATATGCTGTGACTACACCACTTTCTTTCATTTCCTCCTAGGTGCTCAAGAGCAAATCAAATCTAGACAGCAACCTGACGGGAAGCAGGGGCTGGTGTCCTCTGAATGGCTAGTGGGCACTCAGTGATTGCATCTGTTACATGCACAGTGCAGTCAGAATGCATTTTTTAGGGCATGTGCTAGCACCACCACTAGTAATGGAGAAGAGGACAAGCGTGTCACGTTTGCACATTGTTACTGGGAAGAGATAGGTTAGGATGAATGATGAGGGCTGCTGGAGAGGATGGTAGTGTGGCTTCATACCTTTGCCGGTTTAGGTGGTATGCAAAGAAAAATAGGGCGTCTCTCTCTTATTACAGGTTACAGGGTGATCAGAGTGGGGCAGATTCTAAGGTGCCAGTCTTGGATCCTTGCCTGCCTGTAGGACTGGAGGATTTTGTGGAGCAAGGGGGCCAGACCTTGCATGTCAGGGGCCAGGGAGACTGGCAGACCTGTGCAGAGCGGCTGATCCCACTGCTGGCTGGAGACAACAGCAACTGGACCTCACTAAGGAACACCTACCAAGCACCCATTGATTTTGCTAACAGTGAATTCTATGGGTTTTCTGAATTCCACTACTGCACAGAAGATGTGCTGCGTCTGGGAGGACAGTATCATGCACCCACCTTCACACGTGCTGCTCAGGTGAATGTGGAGGGGATAGGAAGGGACTCTCATCATCACCCTTACGTGGGCATGTCTGCTAGTGTTTGTGGATTCTCTGCTGATCTCCCTGTTTTCACCTTCCAGGATTACTGCAGTCAGAGCTGGTCATTACTAACACAGAGGTTCCAAGACAAGCTGTACTCATCCCATGCAGACCTGCATCGTGTCAAGTAAGAAACCCACCTTTCCTTTTCTGTTAAGAGGAACTTGGGATGGAAAATATTCTTGCTCCTTAACCCTTATGCCTTAGTGTGGGGCAGGAGCTCTAGGGACTCTACTGGCTTTCTGCTTAACAGAGTCCTTATCCTTTGTTTGCAGGTACCAGTGCTTCAAGTCAGCCTGGATGCACCAAGTCCTCCATAAAGGGTTCAATTTTCCTATGGACTACTCCGGCCTGCGCACAGCTCAGTTAGTGTATGACCGTGAGGTGCAGTGGACGCTGGGAGCCATTCTTTATAAGACCCGCTTCTTGCCACTCAGGTAAGGCAAAACACTGTCTACTATACCTTTCTAAGTCATTCGCAGAATATAAGATATAGACACTAGGTTGAGCCTTGGCAAGTTCTCACCATGAATGATTGCTTGCATCTCCATAGGAGGTCAGCCTGACATGCTGAGGACCTTTTCTGAGTGGTAGGCAGCAGGGAAAAGGAAACAGAAACATTCCAAAATGTGCAGCAGGGGAATGTAAGCTTGGTCTTAATTCAAAGAAGCTCAGATTGATGGATGAGAATGTGTGTGGTATGCTGAACTTCCCCCAAGCTCTGCTGAATATCAGTTTCTTCTAAAATTAATACACTGTCCTCCTTTTGACTTGAACTTTCAGACATTACCCACTTGTTTTCATGTGTCTTTTGCATTACACCTGAGAAGATTTAAGAGACCAGGTTCCCATTTGTACAGTGAACCCATAGACATATGGGATCTGTACAGCCTTTGATGGGGGAATACCCTACTCCTCAGTCTTCTTGTTCCCATCAGATGGTAGTATAAGAAATACAAGCAAGGACCCACAGAAAAGTCATGTAGAAATCCCCTCAAACTGCTTTTCCCTCTGGCTAATGACAGTCCCCACAGTCACCTTTCTCCATCTCTTTCCTTACACACCTTCTCTCCCCCAGCACCCCCCCCCCCCCCCCCCCCCGGTCTACCTTCCTCATCACCAGGGGAAGAGACTGGCTGTGGGCTCCCTCCAACCCAAACATGGTCAGTGGTCAGCACCCATCTTCTCCAGCAGACATACCCCCCCCAGCAGTGCCCACTGCTTTTTAGGACTACTGAGTCACAGAGTGGACACAGGTTCCCTCTTAGCCCAAATACTGTAGCTATTCAATACCTGCTTCCTCCAGTTGCTGCTGCCTAATCTTCTGGCAGCCCTTGCCCCAACCAATGCAGTCTGTGGGGATTTGTAAATCCCAGTCATCTTCTTCCACTCACTTTTCAGATATTTCTGCAAACCTGAAGATTCATCCATTTTTGCAGAAAAATCCCACATCCTACACATGGCCTTGTTCTGCTTATTTATTCTCTCCACATTTTTGGCCATATTGATAATTAGATAACCGTATGCTTTCATAGTTAGAGACTGCATCTGTGCAAGGATGTTTGTTAGGGATGCCAGCTTTTCTTCTCTCTCCCCCCCCCCCCCCCCCCCAACAGGGTTATTTAAAGCTACCAGATAGGTAGAAATTATTGCTTCCCTTTTCACTTGATCTGTTCCATAAAAATATTGGTTGCTCAACTTCTGCTGTTGAGCAGTTGTTTGGAGGTGCAAAGCTCCTCTCCAGAGGAAAAAAAAATCCATACTGATCTTCCCTTCTCTTTTCAGGGACATCCGCCCCGAGGGCATCCGTCCAGCACACAGTTCGTGGCTGCACCTTTCCTTTGTCTACAATCACTACCTTTTCTTTGCATGCATTCTTGTGGTGATGCTAGCGATTGGACTCTACCTCCTCCGCCTGCGCCGCATCCACCACCAGCAGCTCCACTCAGCATCACTGGACCTGCTGTGGTTGGCAGAAGTGGGATCACTGCCAGGCCAGGAACCTGGCATTTGATAACAGAACTACCTCTCAAAGACTGTTCAGTGGCTCTGGCTTTAACAAGCCCCGAAGCTGTGATCATTTAGTGTTTTAAACCAGAACTGTGGGGGGGCTCTAGGCTAAAACCAGGCCGTGTCTCCCTTGCCTCTTTGTTTGCAGGAGGAAAAAAAGCCCCACAGTCACAGTTTTATCCTGTGCTAAAAGCCCCAGCCAGCACAGAATAAAGAAATTGCACATACTATGAAGCAGGGGGGAAAGAAGACAGCAGATTGCTGTACTCACAGCAGATCTGTAAGCGACCAAAGAGAACTTGATTTACTCAGGAGAAAGAGAAGGAAGGACCTTGTGTTGGCAGGGTCTCAGTCCGATTTTCAGGACCAAATATCTTCTCCAGTATAGCACCTCTCTTAAGCAAAAAATGGTGCTTGAACTCTGAGGCTAACCCTCTGTTCTCCTGAGTGTTATTTTGATACCTTTTATAGGAAGACCAAGAGAAGAAGAGGACCACAAAGACCCTTTTTAGAAAAGGACTTATCATTTGCTGCTATTTTCTGCCTCTTCTCCTACACAAGTGGGAGCCTAACCACCTCTTGTGCACAGGGAGAGTTTAGATCTCTTTGGAATCCTACATTCCATCTAAATTAAGAATGTTTGCATCTGTTTTCTAGCTCATCTTAATTCCACCTTGATTACTTCACCCAGTTCAACTTGTTTTAGTAATACCTAGCCCTTAGAATCAACTGTGGACTAGTTACGTAATTTATCTGTTTTAAAACTTGAACTACAATGGTCCCAGTTACAGTAGCAATAAACTATTCTAAGTTCTGTAGTCAAGAGTTTCTTCATACCATCAGCTCAGAGAGTTGGCATTCCTCTCCTGTGTTTTGCAGCAAGGGCAATTCTACATATGGGGAAAATAATGTAACTTTCAACTGTGCACAAGATCACACACTAGAAATTTTATTTTCACAATACAGGTTTATAGCAGATAAATACACACGTCATCAGTTCAGGGGAGGAGGAGAACCTAGGCAAATACATCTCGGCACAAATGAGGGGAGGGCAGAGGCCTAGTAGGCTAGCCCCTATTTAAAGAGAAGGGAAGGAGCTTTAGAGAGATTAGTGTGTCAGACTAGGATCAATCACTCTTTGATGAAGCTCACTAGGCAACTTCATGCTAGTCAACTTCAAAGTTGTGAGGCTAAAAGAAAGGAGAATCATGTTATGTTCCTTGGAGGGAGAGCAGGATAAAATATACTAGATATAATGGGTTTGGTCCAGGCCTAACTTTCCAATGGTAGAATGAAACTTTCCTGCCTTCCCCTCCCAATGCAGCCTACTGACCTCTAGGAAATGCTGCTTCTGGGGGATAGGAGATCCTGAGGGATGGCACAAGGGGAATCTGGTTCCAACCCATAATCTCTTGACTAACGAGACTTTACAGAGCTTCCTCTGTAGAGGACAAGATACAACAGTTAACCCCCAGCTACTGAGGCAGGACTGTAAGTACTAACTTTCAGGGTCTTTGGAAGGGGTTTTGAAAAGTGGGATGAAAATATTATAATCAAGATCAATTCAGATTGAGAAGATGGAGGGGATACTACAATACATACAACGGGCATATTAAGTACTTGGTCCTAGTGTTGTGGGCCTTTTGGGCTGTAAAATCTGTTTACTTGGTACTGGAAGGGGGAAAGCATGAAGCTGTCTATATCAGATGAGAACCTAGAAGAGAGAGACAGAAAGAAAGATTCTCAATAACCTGTTAAAAGCCAACCTGCTGCTCCCTCTCTGGCGTTAAAAGATCTCTTTGTGGGGCAGAAGCTTATCCCATAGAACTGCTAAAAGGTAGGTTATGGCCATGTTTCTTCAACCCAGTGGCAATGCTATTTCTAGGCATATTTGCCAATGGCCAGAAGCCTGAAGAAAGTAAGAAATCTGGCACAGAAGCTTTCATAAACTGGAAAAACTGATTCTTTGGGCCGTAATTGATTATGACAGATACACACATGCAGGTAGGTTAATAACGTTTATAAACTTATTTTCGCTCCAGGGTTGGTACCTGTTGAAGCATTCTGCAGCACCATGGGTCACTCCCACAGGTAACGCACATACCAGATAGTCTCATTCCTCAGTTGTGGTCCGAACAGTGGGTTGGCTTGGGCTAGGATTGCTATAAGCCAACTGCATGTGAGAGACAGAAGAGTAAGAAGGATATGCATGAGATGGATCAGAAGAATTACCAGTGCTGGAAAATAGGAACTGCCCAGAGGATACCCCTTCGTAGCAGGCAGTTTCTGGCTACCAAACCTGATTAGAGACCACCTAAGGCTTATTTCAAGGGGCAAAGCCCCAATTCATTATTTATAGGCATATTGTTAAGGAAAGAATATAACCACTTGAGACCATGACCATTACCTAGTGCAGTAACAGAGTTTTCAAGTAGACATTATGTTGAAGCATGTGGAATAGAACAGTTTCCCCTTAGCAATGATGCATGCTTTGTGGCAGTCAAAACCTTATGTTGGGATGCACTCCCCCCCCCCCAATTCTTTACCATGCTTTGTCCTAAAGGCATCATGCATGAATATACTAAAACAAAGCCACAGGAAAGAGATGTTTGGGAAACTTGATAGGGGAGCAGTTTTTCAGCTGGCAGGGGTATACGATTTGAGATTACTTGAAGGGAAAGATGCAGACTTTGTTGAATAAGGAATTGGGAACCAAGGATCAACCTCAGCCACACAGATATGAGAGCACTAACAAGAACAGATCCTTAGCCTTTCATCCAGGATTTCTTGCTACACCACCAACACCCAACAGCAACCACTGAGTCAAAATACATGACCATAGGTATACTAAAAGTGAAGTAATAGGTATTCCTGCTAGGCATAACCAACCCTCTTCCCGTTGATACTCACAAGAGATAACAGCAAATGGCAGTAGTGACCAACATGGTAATAATCACGCTGCAGAGGAAAGTGAAAAATAAGGGTTAGCAGGACAATGTCCAAAGCATGATTTCTCTGAACCAGGTGAAAATGCTTTACATGTGGAAACACCCCACCCCATCTTATGAATAACTGACATTTTAAATTTAAAACAATAAAAGGTATTAATACAAAAATCATACAAATTTACTAGATGGCCTTAGGCCAGTTCTTGCTCTCAGCCCAACCTACCTCACAGGGTTGCTGTGAGGACACAGTGGAAGACATAAGTGCAAAACTGCTTCAGGTGTCCACTGGGGAGAAAATCAGGGTACAAATATCTAAATAAACTTACCTTCCTCCAATGCCTGATAATGCCAAAACATTTTTACCATCTTATGAGTCAGGAAAGGAGAGCATTTTAAAATTTCTGAAGTGATATAAATATACCACATTATGGTGACGAGCCTTGTATCTCCAACCGACTCTGGACCTTCAGTAAAATGTGTTTATCATACACAACCTTCCCGGTCCTGAAGCAGAGCAGCACACAGAAGGGTTTTTTGCAGGTGGGGTGGTTATTTCTTTGAATGGGACCGCTAGAGGACCCTGAGCCGGGCATGCGCGTGATTATCTCTTTGCCATGATAATTAGCGAGCCTGCAATTAGACCGTTTAAGGAGACTCACCCACGGTTGGGCCCTTTGGGCACAAACCAAGGCGCCGCAAATCCCACGAGCCCCCAGAATATCGAGAAGAGGATGACAGGTACCGCGAAGCTGTGGGTGGTCATGGCGGGGCTAGGTCGGGCTGAGGAAGTGCAGTCTGGTCGCGGCAGGAGAAAAAGCCTCAGTGGTTTCCTTCGCCCTCCCAGCAATCCCTTTTTGGTCACGTGGGAAGTCCAGCTAAATCCGTTTCGGAAGCGTTGAGAGCGCTCAGAATCCAGCAGGCACCGCCCTGATTGGTTAGTGGCGCATCTCTTTTAACCGCCTCCTCTAATAGGCGGAGAGGGCTGGGGCGCGCGATCCCGTTGCGGTTGGACAACAGAGGGAGTCGGCGAGGAAGAATAAGGACGCTTCCTCGGTTAAATTTTGTTAGATTTACACACACACACACCCTAACAGCCTTACTCAGCCTGAGATTTTTTTTAAAAAAAGTTCTGTGCCTTTATTATTATAGGGAAGTACTGGCAGGATGAAGGAAATATGAACGTCAGTCTGCATTACTAGGACCGCTGCAGCTTCCTTTTCATCCTAATTTTGCATTTATACGTGTTAACAGCAGGCCGCAGGGGAGCACTGCTCCACCAGTCAGGAGCCCAGGGGGTGGCCACATAAGCCCCGCCCCCTGCTCCCACCAGCCATCAGTTGGGACATGGGGGGGGGGAACTTTCCCCACCTCCTGAGCGCTGGGGTGGTGGCCTTGGACTTGTAGGGGCAATTCCACCTCTCTCGCAAGAGGTCATTCTGGATCCCCCAGCTCTCCTTCCCAGCTCCTTAAAAAGTTATAGCAGCAGCTGTGACGCCTGCAGGGGCATGGCAAAACGTTCCCTTGCCTCCTTGAGCACCGGGGTGGTGGCCTTGGACTCGTAGGGGCAAATTCCACCTCTCGCGTGCGGTGCCACTTGGACATCACACGCAAGAGGTCATTATGGCTCCTCCAGCTCTCGGGAAGGGCTCTTTAAAAAGTTATGGCCGCCATCGCTGTTCTCGGTGGCGGCTGCCACCCACGCGCGAGGGGAGGGGTGGGGCGAAACGTTCCCTTGCCTCCCTGAGCATCCGGGTGGTGGTCTTGGACTCTTAGGGGCAAATTTCACCTCTTGCTTGTGGTGTTTGAGCGGCGTTGCCGCTCGGACATCACACGCCAGAGGTCATTCTGGCTCCCTCAGCTCTCGGGAGGGGCTCTTTAAAAAGTTATGGCCGCTGTCACTGTTCTGATGCCTGGGCGGGGTGAAAAGTTCCCTTGCCTCCCTGAGCCCCGGGGTGGTGGCCTTGGACTCGTAGGGGCAAATTCCACCTCTAGTGTGTGACATCACACAGAGGTCATTCTGGCTCCCCCAGCTCTCGGGAGGGGCTCTTTAAAAAGTTATGGCCGCCTTTTTCAGGCTCCGCGCTGGAGCACCGGGCCTGAAAAACGGCCTGCACAGCCGCCGCCCCCCTCCTTTGCCATGCCTGAAAAAGGGCCAGCCGAATGTCAATTTCGGCCCCATTATAACCTATGGGCCATTGAAGTCAATGGCGAAAACATAGGCTATATTCTGGAGGGGAGGGGGTTTGTGGGAGAGGCTCCAAACACGCAAGGTAGCTGCTGGAGCCTCTCCCCACGATACCAACCAAGTTTGAAGAACATTGGACCAGGGGGTCCAATTCTACAGGCCCCCAAACAGGTTGCCCCTATCCCCTCCATTGTTCTCTATGGTGGGGAAAAAGTAACTTTCCCCCCCACCATAGAGAACAATGGAGGGGATGGGGGCAGAGGAGACCTTGCCTGCTCTCTAGATCTTGTAGCTACATAGGACTTCTCTTGGTGATTAAGGATGATACTACTTGTAGCAGACCAGACGAGGAAGTACTTCACCCAAAGAGTGATTAACACGTGGAATTCACTACCACAGGAGGTGGTGGCAGCTACAAGCATGGACGGCTTCAAGAGGGAATTAGATAAACATATGGAGCAAAGATCTATCAGTGGATATTAGCCACAAGCTATAGATAGGAACTCTCAGTCTGGGGCAAGTGATGCACTGTATTCTTGGTGCTTGGGGGGGGCACAGTGGGAGGGCTTCTAGTGTCCTGGCCCCACTGCTGGACCTCCTGATGGCACCTGGTATTTTTGGCCACTGTGTGAGTGTTGGACTGGATGGGCCATTGGCCTGATCCAACAATGGCTTCTCTTATGTTGTTATCTGTAATGAATGCATGCATTAGCAAGCCTAGTTGTGATGGGTTTAAGGCTTCTCTGTTTATTTAATGCTTCCAATGATAGATCTGGGAAGAGGAGAACTTTTTGAGGGGTTGGAGGCTGTGGCGGGTGGCCTGAAACAGAGCCCGCTGGCATCTCCCAGTCTGTATCTGGCATCCCCCGCCAGTGGCCGGGAGGTACCTGGCAACCCTAGTATGAGCTTCTTTAACATACATGTATGTGAAGTTACTGCCCACCCTCTCTCTATATTTCATTGTATCTAAAGAAGAGTGTTTGTGCACAAAAAAGCTCATCTGTTGATCTTAAAGGTGCCACTGGACTCAAGCCAGGATTTAGTTTGCTGAAAAGTATTTGTTGTACATAGTGTTTCAGATTTTGTTGCAAAGTTTGTTGCAGCCTAGTGTGCTAAAAAACTGGGGCCGGCCCTGAGAGGAGGCCAGGGGGTGGGGACATGTAGCAAGCCCCTACAGATTTTACCCCTGAGCACTCTGTAACGCTAATTCAGATTCATCCCAGCTGCATGTATGCAGGACCAGCCCTAGATCCAGTGGTGCCCCAGGCAAGTCCTTCCCCTTCCAATAGTTCCAACTTTTGAACACCTTTTTAAAAATTGTGTGTGTGTTACCCTCACAACAACCCTGTGGGGTAGGTTAGGTAGAGAAGGGGAGATTTGGCCCGGGGTCACTCAGCCAGCAGAGTGAGAATACAAACCTGGGTCTCCCCACATCAATCTGCAACTCTGACCACTGTGCAGTGCTGCCTCTACTGATCTGTAATGTTCCAGAGGTGTTGTAATGTAATACTCAGTTTCTCAAACGAGTGTATGCCTGTCTGTTGGTCCATATAGGAGTCTTGATTCTGGTTGTGTGGTGGGCTAGTTGTGGCAAATGGTAGGGAAGCTCAGTATTTCTGTATACAGTTGTAGGGGCTTTATTGCAATGTGGTATGGCCTGATATTATGTTCTTATTCCAGTGTGGGGTGTGTGGGGGGCAATGGAAGCTGAGTGATAGGGTCTCTCCAAGTGATTGCCAGAAGTGAGATGCTTCCTGGTCTTGTGTCTTACAGATAATCTTACAAATAGTTCTTTGCATTTATATCATGCTTTCAACTTTAAAAGGATCATAATGCTGATTGTGTGAACTTAGGCAAATCACGAGAGGTAGAGCAGGAAGGGTTGCATCAGTGCTTAGTTCTTGTGGCCCTTTCTTACATGCCCAGGGAAATGCTGATCGCCACTTTGGGGCCAGGAAGCAATTTTTCTCCAGGCCAGTTTGGCCCCCAGTGATCCTGGAGTTGGTTTTTTTTAATCATATTCTGGGCGTGGAACAGGGGTCACTGGGGTGTGTGTGGGGTATTGGTGAATTTCCTGCATTGTGCCGCGGGTTGGACTAGATGACCCTGGAGGCCCCTTCCCACTCTATGAGTCTATGATTCTGTAATTCACCCAGGCTGGCTGTGGGCATGCCAGCACCTCTGTCAGGCAGAAGCGCCTGAGATCCTCCCCCTCCCCTTTTCCTTCGCCCGACTTGGAGGCGAAGGGAAGGGAGAGGGGGGAAAGAATGGATTCCAGGTGCTTCTGCCTGTCAGAGGTGCTGGTGCACACTTCCGGTGATGTCAGGGTGTGTGGCATATACTAATAAGTTATGCTAATGAGCTCCTGCAGCTCTTTTTCTACGAAATGACCCCTGGCTAACAGCAATTGCAGTATTACTAGTAATTCAAGCTAAAGGTAAAGGAAATGTACATTTAATGCTGGATTTAAAAAGGGTTTAACAGAAAGCCATTTCATTTCTTTTATTAAGTAAAGAAAACATTTTTATTGTTCAAAAGGGTTCATAGGGCATTACAATCTTAAATATCAAAAACCTCCACTCAAGGTCACCAACTAGAGACTCCAGCTGACAAGATTCATAAATACAGCCATCATCCACACACTAATCTCTACTGTACTCAGTGCTCCCTCATTCCCCTATAGAATTCTGGAAAGAAACACCCACAGAGATTAGCTCTTGGATGCAGTCTCAACCAAATGGCGCACCAGGATCTGAGGCACAGTAAAGACCTCCTTAATTCTTCAACACACAGAAGCAGTTTTGTCACCTCTGCATCCTGACTAAATGGCAGGTACAACTGGACAGATGGAGATCCATGTTAAGCACTTTTTGCACCAAAGTGCCTTAGATCATGAAGTCCAATTTCTGCTCTGAACTCTCCTTCTCTGACCAAACTGGGGTTCCAGGAAGAGGCTCAAACACAGCGCACGTTGTGAGGAAAGCATCCCTGAGCCCTCAGGCCCAAAGACATGGCGTGGCTGGGAGAGCAGAGCTATTTAGGGATCCTCCTAAGTTCATGAATAAGCCACAGAGCAACGCTGAGCAGAATCAAGGACCCGGACTGATGAGTAGCTGCTAAAGGAGTTGGGACATACAGGAGTAGTGTGCTGATACCCAGGCCAACCTGCAGAGGAACAAAAAGAGCAAGGGCTGGCATCAGTGGTAAGAAAGTACACTTAGTTATACCTGAAGCATAGAAGTATGTCTGCGGGAATGCACAGGATTCCTATTACACAGGAAGAAACAAATTTAGGAATACTACACCTGCTGGCATGTTAGGTATTGCCTCTGTACATTAACCACCACAACTTTGTAAGTAATGACAGAATGGATTACCACTCCATTATGATCTCCTTTTCACTCCCCCCACCCTGCCCTTAGAAAGGGCCTCAGTAGTGTTTCCATGGTAAAATGATTATGGAGATGCTCTGACAGTAACCCCTGCCAGAGGCAGAGAGAAAGCAGAAGGATGCCCCTACAGCATTGCACTGTATTCCCATATTGCAGCACCATTGCATTTATTTTTCTTTCTGGCTTTAAGCTCAGAAAGCAGAAGGGGATGTGCAGGGCTATGGTGGTTGGTTTCAGTTTTAAACGGCAAACAGAGATACCCAAGAGTGTACTGCCATTAGGAAGAAGCTGTAGGAAGAAGGAGGAACGTTGCATTCAACCCCTTAACCAAGGTTGCTCTTTGCCTCAAGCAAATGCCAAACTGCATGGCTGTGTGAAAGGAGTCAGTACCTGGAGGTATGCAACAGCCAGTAAGGAAGTCACTGCCATCCGAGTCCTGCGTGGGAGAGGGATCTTCCTGGAAAGCAGGTACAGACCTGTGATAGCTGTGACAGATAAGATCCCCTAAAGAAAGAACAGAAAGGCACTCACTGAAAGGATGGGAAGACAGTAACGAAGGCACGGCCCCTATTTTACAAGACAAGCAGATTCACTGAGCCATGTTTTCAATGTTGTAGGAATGATGGTTCAGTCTATATTTCCTTCTTGAAAATGTGTTTTTTAAAATAAATACGGCACTAGCACTAAACAGATGATAGTCTCATATTTAGATAAGCTGCTTCCTCCACTGTTGACTAATATTCCTGATAGCTACTCATATGCTGAACTTTCTTACAGATATTTCAGACTCTAACTCCCAGCTCAAACTGGTAGCCTCTATTTCACCCTCCTTTTATAATCCCCCCCCCCATCATTTCCAGACTTTATTTATTTTCTTTATTTATAATCCATCTTTCTTGCTGAGACGCAAGACAGATGACAGGGGAGGGTGGGGTATAAATTTAATAATAAAATAAATAAGATAAAAAATCATGTAATCAGACAGCATAAGACATCCAATAAACAATGCAATAAGAACAGGTGAAAACATTTCTTTTATAAAGACACATCCTCTTTCTGTTCTACACAATCTGTGGAATGGCAGGAGTATGGGAGACTTCTTGGCCTCCTCAGACAGGCTATTCCACAAAGCGGGGTCCACAACACAGAATGCATATATATGTGCAGCTATCTTACCCATCTGCATGATGGCACCCTCAGAAAGTCTCCCAAGGATTATGAATGCAGCCACAACATGAGATGCATGTTTTCAGGAACATCAGTGCCACAACATTAAGTGAAGATAGCCTTGCCTGGTTCTGCTATATGGGACCCTTTAATTGAAGATGGAAGAGACTGAACAGAAGACCTTAAGCACGCAGTTATGTGCTCCAACCCAAGCTACAGATGCTTACATTCCACTCTGAACTACTCTGTCCCTTCATACAAGTCCAATAAGAGCACACTCAGTGAAGAGGCAGCTGTTAAGAAGGTAAAGATGACACTCACCAGGATTCTGTGATCGAACTGCACAGTTGTGGGATTCTCAAAAAAATTCTTTAGCCGAGGGGAAAACGCAAGGAGATCATCAGGGATCCAGTGCTCCCCCATCTTGGGGAAGGAATTATATACAAGGCCAGCATCCAATCCTGCCACAAAGGCCCCTATGGTTTCAGAGAATGAGGATGACAACCTGGTAACAAACTAGCCATTGTAATATACTAGCTGTGGTACTAGCCATGATAATATACTAGCCATTGGACAGGTAAATGCATCAAGGTGTCCGTTTTAGTTTCTTCTCCTAAGGTCACACAGCAATTGCTAATTACAATGACTTGCATTTTAGCACCCTAGAGCTAGGAAAGGCCAAACTCTTCCATGGAACCTGAAGCAAGCCACCAAAGATCATGCCATTTCCCGCCTCCTGAAAGAACAGGATCAGTGTAACAATGAGAAGGTTACCTGAGATGGCAGTGAGGAAAACAAGGCCTGCTGTTCCATAAGTGAACCTTCTCAAGCGTAAAAGTTGGAGGGTTTCAGGTAACTGTCAAAAGACAAGCAGTGGGAGGATCAAAGGGATATGCAATAATTCCTTTGTGTACTCCATGAACAAAACAACCAATTAATATTCCACAGGCAGAGAAACAAACAACTCCAGTGCATTCCTAGCCAAAGACCAGCCTCTTTGATTTACTGTCAAAATTCTAAGGTAGCATCTGTAGTCAAGATCTCCCTCCCCTCTTCTTAAGCAAGCATGGTACTGCACAGTCTTTCAAAAGCATGGTTTACATTTAATTGTATACAACTGTGAATCCAGGCATTTCTGTAGAAATCAGTAAGCACTCTTAGCAACTGTCATGGGTGTCACATGCACTCAATTCAATTCTACTGGCAATCTGACACGTTACTAGAAGCCACAACTGCAGACTCCAGAGGCATGTTCTTCCCAGGATGCATAAGGGAAGGGCACTTTGTACAGTTTCTTCTGTTGTATCACCTTACATTTTGTTTTAAAGGGCTTATTAGAGAGACAGGGCATCATTAGCACTGGGCAAATTGTGGTACTAAAGCTATCTAAAACTGTTCAGGCCAGGCTGAATCTCTGCAGCCTACACTTCTCTTGCCATAATTTAAGTAACAACCTTCTGAAGATTGTACTGATGCCTACAACAAGCCTTCTGCGCGCCCCACTTCTCAACAAACCTTGTGCTGTGGTAGCAGCAATGAGAGCCCAGTCCAAAGGCTGGAGCAGTAAAGAACAAGTGCAGAGCCCAGGTGTGCAGCTAGACGATACTGACTGACCCGAGGGATATCATGACTGTCTGTCTTTTCCTCTAGTCCACTTTTTACCATGTACCAGCCCAACAGACCCTATGGGGAAAAACCCAGAAAAAATTATAGTGAAACAAAGCCTGCTCTCCCCATGGATATCATGTGCCCGCCCTGCCACAAAACCGGGCCAACAGCCAAATCTTTAGAAGCAGAGATCCAGCTCCCTTTGTACCACCCCCACCTTCCATCATGCCTGCCTTGTCATGAAATCACATCTGCTCCCCACCCAATGATGAGACTGCAGGAGAAGGAATACCACTTCACAAGCCTGGCCCCTTTGTTCCCATTGCACAACTACACCAAGCACCACCATCTGAAGAAGTGTCTGTGCAGCTCCTGCATGTCATTGTCTTATCTTCACATCTGCATCAGCTGAGTCCCTGGAGCCTATAAGGAACTCATGCTCCAGCCCAGTTACTTTGCACCCACCCACAGTTAATGGATTCCAAGGCTGCAGTGATTTTCCCCACCTGGAAGCAGACTAGCCCACAGAGAGCAAGGACTCGACTTCTCAGGGACCGGTTCAGGTAGCCCTTCCTCCAGAAGTAGGCTGCTGGGATGATGTAAGCCAGCCCCACCAGCCGTCCCCACATACGGTGTGAATATTCCATGTACCAGATGAATTTGAACTCTGTCAGTGTCATGTCATGATTCAGGCTATTAGATTCGGGGGGAAAAAAGAGCTTTAAGAACCAGCAGCAGCCAGGTGGTGTCATCCACTCTCCTCTTTCCACCTAGTCTTGCAACAAAGCAAGAAAGCCTCCAAAATGCCCTTATCCCCAAGCCTTTGGCTGGAGGAAACCCCACTGGATGGTGACAACAATTTTTTTTTCCTCCCCTAAGGGAAATCTCTGGGAATCGTAGTCCAGCTCACACTTACATTTTAAATTCCGGAAATTGCTGGTACTTTTGGAATTCTGCCTCCCACTCTTGCTGTGTCTGTGGAGGCTTCATCTCCCGTACCAGGTGCCAGTCAACCATGGAAAGCCCAGACTCTGTCAGTCTAAGGAGGAGAGGGACAGCAATAATTCACTATTGCGGGAGGTGCAAAATGTGCCGATGGTGGTGGTGGTGTGTGTGTGGAGACAGAGTGACAATGTAGATGGCAAGTATACTTGTCTTCCCCGTAACTTTTTAATTATGAAGATATGAAGATTATGTGTAAACAAAAACCATATCTTTAATTCTGGAATCAGTCTGAATAAACTGCTTTACCCTACTTTTTGACTTGAAACTCACTAACATGGATTAGACGTGCCACTCTACAAATGAACATGTACCAAAACATGCTGTGAAAAAAATTCCACCTTTAACTACCTTAATCGCAACCAGTTAAAACATATGAAGGGATAACCAATTTCACAGACATGTTAACCACACACACAGACCGGTGGCAGCGTTTGATGTCTGAGTGCACAGGAAGCAAAATAAGCTGGAAGAGGGGCTTTGCTTCTGGAGTGTCTTTGAGAGCCATCTGGACTATGGGGCAAAACATGTGACACAAATGTGAGCAAGCATTTCCATCAATCTGTAAAATATATTTATTTAAAAGATTGATATCCCATACTCTTCTGAATCTGTCCAAGACAACTAACATAAAAAACAATTTAAAATAAAAATAAACAATATTTCAGTAAACTAAAATATCAGAATTAAAACCTTTCACAGGTATTTTAAAACAGCAGTCAGTAAAACCAACAATATAACACCAGTGTAACAGCAGGAGAGAAGAAGGGAAAGAGATTTGTGTGCAGCCACAATTCAGATCATGGTCACATGAGATGAGAAAAGGGCATTTGAGCTAATCAAAACCATGCTCCCTGTGCCTTTATTAGCATTTTAAAAGAAATAAGGTTGTTTTTTTTAAAGGACATTAGTTTTGTCTGCTCCCATAAACATGGGCTATTCCACAATTTTACCTGTCTATAGTTAAATGCCATCTTATGATTTCTACCCATTCTTGAAACCATGCCTTCTCTAAACTCTGCTGTGTAGCAATTTCTATTCTTTTGCTATATGTTCATCTTATATTATTAACAGCCTGTCACTACAATTTAGCCTCTCTAGCTCTGATTGCTGAACAACTAACACGTCTACTAGAAATTTTTGTGAAACCCACAAACCCTATTGCAAATTATAATCAAAGTTAAATTCCATAATCAGCTACTTAATAAGAGGAAGAGATTGGATTTATACCCCGCCCTTCACTTGGAGTATCAGAGTGTCTTACAGTCTCCTTCCCTTCCTGTCCCCACAACAGACCCCCCGTGAGGTAGGTGGGACTGAAAGAGCTCTGAGGGAATTGCTCTTGAGAGAACAGCTCTGAGAGAACTTTGACTGACCCAAGGTCACCCAGCAGCTGCATGTGGCGGAGTGGGGAATCAAACCCAATTCTCCAGATTAGAGTCCACCGGTCTTAACCACTATACCACACTGGCTAATTTTAATATTTAATCTGAAAGCTAACTCACATACTCCATCTGGTCCATTTATGGATCATTTTAATCCAGTTACCATAATCAATGTCAACAAGATCTTGAGATCTATTAAAGTAATTTAGATCCCTCCCCATCCTGATTACTGAAATCTTGTAGGGATCACATCAATAAGGCCTTGATAAATCAATCATAATTCAGTCGACACAGGGAACTTTTGCCCAGTCAATATAGCAAGTAGTCATCTGCCCACTACTTAAAAACTCTTTGCCAAAGAAAAATGAAGTATCCAGTTATCACCAGGTCACTAATTTCCCTCCCTCATCAAGGATAAAGTGGTAGCAGAACAACTCCATGTCTTCCTATATGACTCATCTACTCTAGACCAGTGTTCCCCTAAGCTGAGTTAGTGTGTGCTAGCTCATAGTTTTTTAGCCTCTGGGTCACACATTTTTTTCTTAGCTCAGGAAGGATGGCTCCATGGCAAAGCAATTTATGCAGTAGCCAAATGGCTCGCTCACAACTTTAATGACAGTAGCTCACAAAGGAGAACTTTTGCTCACAAGACTCCACAGCTTGGAGGGAACATTGCTCTAGACCCATTTCAGCCTGGCTTCAGGGTGGATTATGGGACAAAGACAGCCCTGGAGCCTTCAGTTAATATTCTGTGTTTTAATGTAGACAATGGCCATGCCTCTCTCTTATTCAGTCAATCAGTGATGTTTGACACTGAGGATAATACCATCTTGTTGAACTGCTTGGAGGTAGAAGTAGGGGTTAAGGATTACGCCTTGGATGGGTTTAAATTGTTCCTTATGGGCAAGTCTCAAAGGGCTGTTGTTGGAGACCAATTGTCATCACTTTGGGACTCATCCTGTAGGGTCCCTCAAGGCTCAATCTTATTCTCCCATGCTATTCAATCTCTATGTAAAGCCCTTAGGAGAAATCAGTTGTGGTTTTGGAGCTAGCTGTCATCAATATGCTGATGATGCTAAGGTCTGTATTTTTTTAACCAAATAACTTCATGATGCTGTAGAGATCCTGAACCAGTGCCTTACTGTTGTGGTTAAATGGTGAATGAGTTGACAGTAAATCTTGGCAAGACAAAGGTAATGCTGGTGGGGAAGGCTGAGATCTTGAGGGTATTGCACTCCCCACCTTTCACAGAATCACAGAGTTGGATCCCCTAGTTGAATCCCCTGCTCAATGCAGGATTAGCATAAAGCATCCCTGACAAGTTTTTGTCCAGCAGCTACTTGAAGACTATTAACCAAAAATACAAAAGCAACCTTAAAGAATGCAAACAAAATCTGTTTTTTACAAAAATATAGTGATTATCATGCAAAGTACGAAGTGTGTTATTACATTAAAAGACATACAAATACAAGCGGGATGTAAGCCTTGCTGAAATATAATCTTAAAGGGACCGAGCCAATCAGCAATCTTCTTAGGCTGTAAGAACAGAAACATTCTCTGTAACAGCCGAAGACAAGTCCCTTGAAGCATGAAGACAGCAAGGTTTGTAATACACAACAGGCCTGTTTTGATTCAATATTTTTATCAAGCTGTTAGTCTTCATAAGGCTTGTGGGACTTCCACTAGTTTCCAAGAATTCACAGGTGCATGGCGGCAAGCATCCCTAGTGACGAGCTTGAGATAGCTGTTGTTGGCAACCTTCTCCTTTCTTGTTCGCTACTTGAAGACTGCCAGTGAGAGGGAGCTCACCACTCCCCTAGGCAGCCAATTCCACTGCTAAACTACTCTTACTTTGGTGGGGTCCTGCTGACCCTCACTGAAACAGTGAACAGCCTAGGGGTTATACTGGATCCAGCACTATTACTAGAGAAACAAGTTAAAAGGCATTCTACCAGCTTAATTTAGCCCAGAAGACAAACCCCTACCTTGACTGGGCTGATCTGGCCATGTCGATCCATATATGGTTAACTTGAGGCTAAACTATTGTAACACACTCTACATGGCCTTAAAGACAATGTGGAAACTCTAGTCGGCATAGAAAATAACAAAAATAAATATTCCAGACCAGGATATATGTAGGTATAGGTATCAAAGTATGCCTATTATTTTTCTATTGAACATAGCTGATGAAGAAAGCTTTACTGTACCATCTGAGGCCTCTTGTCTGTGTGTCTGGATTGGATACCCTAAGGGATCTTAGGCTGGGAGAGCATGCCTTTTTTCCCTAGTACACTTCTTTCTCTGATGTATATAGAGTGCTATCACATCCCCAACTCAAGCTTATGACATGAAATTCCTGTCCCTGCAGGACCCTTGCAAAATAAGCCTGTGCTCTTCCATGTTAATAATAGCATAAACATGCAGAAGGCAGAAGGAGCTTGTGTCTCTATTTCTGGGGATCCACACATTATAAGGGTCAGGCTGGAATGACTATTCCTTATAGCATCTTTCAAAGCAGTGTCCCAGGGAGAAGGAAACAGACCACTGCAGAATGCAGAAAGATCTACTGAACCTGTCCATAACTGGAAAGCATAGCAGTAGATAAAAGAAATACAGTCAAAAGCTTCACGAGGAAAGGAAGGCTGATTTGTTTCACCTAGTGATTCCACCCAGCACCACAGCTCCAGCCACAGTCCCACTGCAGATTAAGAGCCAGCGGCCTACAGTCCGATCTCTCACAGCATTGGGGATAGGTGGTACTGCCAATTTGGGGAGGGAAGCCACTTCTGACACTGCACTGTGCTGTGTCCGTGCTTGTGGGGGTCGGCACCACCGAAGACATTGCTGAGGATAGAGAAAAAATGAGGAGCTTGTTAACAATTAGCAGCAACCCACTGAGTGCAATTCCCTCACCTTCTCACTACATTCGCAACTGAAATGCAAGGAGGGGTGCTTCTCAGATAAGACAGGGAACCAGGGCCATCTGAGAAGCTCATATTTGTAGAGGCCTCACACTTATCTTGCTACTTCAGGAAGTTTGTTTGCAAATGCAGAATGCACTAATCCAGAGGTCCCCAACATGGTGCCTATGGGCAACATGGCCCCCACCAACACCTTTCTTGGCCCCCACCAAGTGTTTTTAGACAGCGCCTGGGGCCAGGTGGGCCTTTTGCCTAGCAAGGCTATTGATTGGTCATTTGTGATTGGCTGTGCAGATTTTTTTTTTTAATATTGCTTTGGCAGCAGCTACTAGCACAGCACAAGGATCTTCACTATGTGACTGAAGGTGAGCTGTAGCAGCCACTTTGTGGCTGGCTCTGCCTTCTCCAGCAGCCTTTTTGTGGCTGTACCCATCATGCTATGTCAAAATTACAGAGGTGCCTGCAGGCTCAAAAAGATTGGGGAACCCTGTGCTATTCTAAGAAGTATAAGAATAAAGGAGCACATCAGGCATCCCTGAACACAGATTATCAACAACTTTTAGTGTGGAAGCTTAGAACTCTTGGTTTTTAAACTGAAGATAGTCTTAAACATTGCCTGACAGACATACAGCTAGTTACTATCAGCAACAGAATAGTAAATGGCTAATCCAACAGGGATCTTCTTAAAGTGCAAAAAGTATGCAAGAGAAGAGATGTGTGAACAATAGGAATCAAAACACTTTATAAGTGCCCGGACATTTGTCATTTGCCACCTTTAAGACATCCAGATCTGAACTTATAGTAGTCCTCTTAAATATCCGCCCTTCTTGTAACTATAACCCACCAAATGGGTTTCTAGATCTGAGGGATACAGATCCCCAGGTACCTTATGATCAGAACGTACACTTTCCTCCCAACCATGACAACCCTAGTGACAAAGAAATGCATATCAAATCCCAAATGAGGGATGAAGGCAAAAGTGTCTCAATGTTTTTCATTACAGGCACCTCTGTAATTCTGACATAGCATGGTGGGTACAGCCACAAAAAGGCTACTGGAGAAGGCAGAGCTAGCCATTTCACAAGGGTCATCAGCCCTTGCTGCATTCCTTTCTTGAACACATACTGATTGCCCAGTTACCACAGAAATATCCTTACTCCAGTGATGGCTTAGTATAAAGGCTTGGTATACACTTAATATAGCATCATCAACATGCATGACTCTTTACAGGTCTCTGCTAGGAGAAAATGGAGATAAGGAAGACAGGTGAAGTTAGGATAATAAAACATGATGAACCTTCCTGATGCTTTAAAAGTGCACCGTCTTCTAAATGACTCTGCTCCGGAAATATCAATGAACATAACTATGTTCTTACAATCAGCGATAAAGCTACGCCAGAAAACTACCAAGTGAGTAAGTGTTTTATGAAACATTATGTAGTCGGTAAAATGCTTGGCTCTATATGTATGGTTCTATAAGGTTTTAAATGTATATTTCTCTTTTATAGTAATCCTCTTTTAAGGTGTTTTTATGCCAATAAAAGCTAACTGAACTGGAACTGAACATTTATTTTAATATGAGCTTTCATGAGCAGTGATTCACTTTTTCAGATATGTGAAGACACTGCTGCCAGCTCCTTTTCTCTTATTTTTTAAACTCTTTTTAGTGTTGTTCTTAGTGTTATTTATTATTTTAAGATTGTGAGTCTCTTTTGTGACTTGGCTGTGCAAAGAGCAGCTTGAAGTCTATGACTGGTTACTTGAAGATAAGATTCTCTCCCACGCTGGCTACTCCCAATGGTGAGGCATTTGCGGCTACAGTGAAGAGCAGGATTAATTATTTCAACACCCAGTATATACTTTTATTTTATTACACGACTGAGCTAGCTTCCAATAGCTGATGTGGAGAAAGCAAAAGATATACCACTAGATGAGATGTTAGAATTATGAGAAGGCATAATGAGCTCCATCGCTTCAGCCTACAAGTGGGAGATACCACTTTAAAATATTCCAACACATAATTACAGAGGACAAAACATGTTAGTCTGTGCAGTAAGAACAAACAGGAGCCTTAAAGACAAACAAGTTTTTATTCTAGCACAACCTTTCATAGATTAGAGATGATGAAGGGGGAGCTGGCTTACTACGATTTATGCTAAAATAAAATTTGTTCACCTTTAAGGTGGCACAAGACTCTCATTTATGTTCCCCCATATTAAAAAAAACACTCCATAACACTAAAAATTTAGCACATCATCAAGGAGATAAGTTTTAACCGAGACCATTCCCTGTTACATTAATTTACTTGCACAGTTTAGCCAAAGGATTATTAGCCCCCCCTCCCGCCCAATAACAACCCTCCCCACACGCCTTTCAATCAGCACAGTCTATTCCACCACCCCCACTCTGCTGCACACGCAGACCAGGACTCGAAGAAGCAGCCTTTCCAGACGTGGAAGTATTTCATTATCACAGAAATCAGACTTCACGTCTGAAGATACCTGGCTAGGGGACACTCTGCCTCCACGAGGGACTAATACAAGCCGAGCCCCTCCAAATAAAATCCGCAACAACATCACTTCTAAATACAACCTGGAAGTAGTTTCTTTTTGACACAAGAACTATTCCAAGCCCTTCCGGAACACAAGAGGACAGCGTATTCCGCCCGCATGATGCCACGTGACATGTAGGAAGGCGGTGCTTCTTGTCATCGAGCTAGGGCAAGTGAGAACGGAAGGGCGTGGCTTCCCCCACAGGGGCGTGTAGCACAGCACTCGCAACACCAACGCCGCCTCCGGAGCCTCACCAAGGCGGGCGCGTAATGAAGAGAGGGAACAGGAAGCCGGGGTCGGAGGGAGGGTGTTCGGGTGAGTGGGCAGGGACTCGACCGGAAACGGATTTCAGAAGGGAAATAGAATTCGAAGGGCGGGGTTAGGGAATGGAAATCCGGGTGGCCTGGTGCATTTCGATAGCGAGGTTGCAAAGTGGCAGTTCGGTTTGTGTTGATTCTCACAGGGCACATGGGCACGCATCCTTCAGCAGGGTCGAGTTGCATTTGTTTAGGGACTGGCTTAGAGGGCAGGATATATTGGTTTGACATTCTGTTCTCTCCCAGTTCTCTAAAGTCGTAAAGTTCAGGAAAAGGCCTACCTTTGGTTTTGCTTAATGCATCAGGTAGTCCTCTCTTCTCTACAAAACTGTAATGTTTAGTGCATTTTAATTGCTTTAAAGCCATAAAAAGGGGATACACATTTCAAATTTGTATTTATTTAACAAAGGCATATTCTAGGTTACCTGTGCCCCAGTGCCAGAAAGTGCCACTGTGGGACAGTGATTAGAATATCAGATCAGGAAAAGGAAGGCCCTGTTTCAAATCCCTGTGCTGCCTTGAAGGTTGATGAATGACCTTGGGTTAGTTATTTTTCACAGCATAATTATCTCACATGGTTATTAGGATAAGCATACCTGAGAGGATAACTATATATTCTACCCTGAGCTCCATAGAGGAAAGGCAGGATAAAAATATGATAGTCACCAACAGGTTCTTTTTAGAGGGGGATGTGTTGGGGAAAAGCAGCAACCAAACAGACACCACTCCTATTCATGAGTTGGTTGCTAAGGTGCTGTACAGTTCATTAAGGTTAAAAAACAAGTTTGCTTTGAGTGGCAGTATTTTAAATACGTACGTAGAAAACTGTGTGATGCTCACTTGTACTTCATCAGGTGAATAATATATGTATGCTCACTTTGTATGCCCAAGGGGCTGAAGAAGGTGAACTTTCTTCTGGGCTCAGGGAAAAAAACACCTTTGCACACAAATTTCATTAAAGGCCCTGCTGATGTCAGAGTATCTTTTGTTACTGATCCTTTGTTCTGTTGTTGGGTGTCTAGAACTGCTGTGTATTAGCCAAAACAGCTTGTTTCTGAATGTGCAGCTTTTTTCTCAGTAGTTTACAGGTTGTTGGTGACTTGTAAAAGCTAGCATGTTACACTGTGGCCCTCTTGCTGTTTAGCCACTCCTAAGCATCTCCGTTTCAGTTTATACAAAAGAGCTAGATTCCTTTGAAAAGGAACTTTCTGAAACCGGTGCCAGTTAGCCATGTTCATTGTAGTAAAAATAGAGGCTGATACTCTGTAGGAGGGGGAAGTTAATATCAGTATAGGTATATCATCTTTGGCATCTTATCCCATTCAATATTAAATAGCTATTCTTAGTGCAATGAATCAGTAGAACTATATGAAGTAGCTTTTGGACATATAGTTGTGGGGAACAGCTTGGAAAGAAGGTTGCGTAATCAAGACGAAAGAATCCAACTAAAAACTACAGTGGGATGGAACATTAGAAATCACCTCAGCAGTTGTTTGACCCTTTTTGCTGCTGGGAAACTAAATTCAAAATACTTCAGAGGGCCAAAAAAGCAAGAAGCTGTTGAGTTCGGTTCCAAGGGATTAACAGCAAAAGTAGTCTTTGGCTTCAGGTGCATCATTTTACCTCTGCTGTGATGAAAAAGGTTGAGCTTAATCTTCTGTACTGGACACAAGTTTTCTATCCAGACTCTGATCTTATAATAAGTGCAGATAGAATTTGGCTGGGTAGGTTGACCAGTGATGTAAAATGTATTAAGCAGCTGGCTGTGTGGGCTGAATGTGGTTGAAAGAATCCAACTAAAGAATCAAAATGAAAGAATCCAACTAAAATCTGCAATCAGATGGAACTTTAGAAATGACCATTCTCAGCAGCTGTTTGTCCCTTTTGGTTGAAGTAGAACTGGACTTCCCCATAATCTCTTACTCTGTTTCTCTCCTAGGAATGTCCAATGGCTTTCTCATGGAAGTATGCGTTGATTCAGTGGAGTCTGCCGTGAATGCAGAAAGGGGAGGTAATGTCACAATAAACGGCTGCAAAGGGAGGCATGGTTCTTCCCCTGAGCAGCATGAAGATCTCCAAAACTCTAATCTATAGAGTAGTGACACAATTATGGACCTTCAGGACAAGAATGTATACATTCTCTTTTGTGACTGCAAGCCTGTTACCTGCTTGGACTCCTCATGATGGGACAAGCTGTAAATCAAAAACTGGCATACTCTAATTTTGTCGACATCTGCACTAGCAGAGTTAGGCTGGGCAAGCACCTGGAGCAAACAATTAACCCTCGAACTAAACTACTTCAGAGGCTAGGCCTATGCACATACTTTCTCCTTGGATCCTCCAGTTCCAGAGTTCGTTTGGCTTTGATGCTGGAGTGAAGATGACAGCACAATCTTCAGCAGAGTTACACCATTCTAATGCCATTGTAGTTGATGGGCTTAGAAGGATGTAGCTGTTTGGATTGTGTGCTATGAATCACTAACTGTAGTTATGGAATGTGCTTATAGCTAATGAAGGCATGGCAGGTTTTTGTGGGTTTTTTTTTTTAAAGGATGGAGACTATTGTTCTGTTTAGTTCACTGAATTTGGTCCAACAGCAAAATACTGCTTGTAGGATATAGGCTGAGAACTTTAGATTATTCTTAGTGATCTTCATCTCCTTATGTGAGATTGAAGTACCCAATTATAGGAGCTTCCGGTTTAAGCATTTTGCCACCCCTCTCGCTCTGATGGGGGCGCGCCGAGACTCAGCTGACGGGAAGGGTCCGAGATTGTCCCGGACTCTCCCGGGGTCTTCGTAGGAGACCCCCCAGCCTGGGAAGCTGAGGAGAGCCTCTTCCAAGGCGACGGCCAAGGAATTGAGGCTCACCTTTTCCACGAAAGGTCCCGTCACCGCAGAGCCAATATGGCACCCAGAGACGACTGCTGGAGCAAGCGGACACGACCAAAGAAATGCTTCTAAAAGATCTCCAAGGCTCCAAACCGTGAGTTAAGCAATGCTCAAGTGTTACAAAGTGACTATATGAGCCTTGGCAGTAATTAGAAGTGCCTATGAACAAAGTGAGGGTGGAGGGGAAACTCAAGACTACCCCCCAAAAAAACCCCTTGAAAAGCGGTTTTTAAGCGGAAATAAAAGACTCTGAGCTAAACTAAACGCATGAGAATTCAAGAGAATTCAAAAGCTGCATGCTGAGATAAAGCACACTAAAAACGTATAACTTTTATCTTGTTTTGGAAAACTTCTTGTTGATATTATGGCGGGGAGAGGGCGGAAAGCGACGCCAGAGAAAAAAAACTCCGACCAGAAATAACCAACCAACGACTCCCTCCCGGAACCAGGAAGCAACTACAGACTTTTCTACACTATTAGCTAATGCATCGTGCCCTCTAATGGAACAGATGACGAACCTCAACTCCAAATTAGACATTGTTCAAAAACAATTGAACCAAATGGATAAAAGAACCTCAGCAACTGAGAAAACATTTTAAAAGGTGGAAAAACAGATGGAGAATATTAATAAAAGAGTGGATGAAGCGGAAAAAGAAAGAACCTCCAATAAAACACAGTTAATACAGCTCCAGTTGGAAAGATCCGTGTATGTTCTACATTTCCATGGGATTCCTGAGGAAAAAAATGAGGATCTAAAAGAACTCTTAGCAGATGCTCTTGCACCATTAATGGATTACAAACATGAAGATTTACTGAAGGAGATGGGCGTGGCTTATAGGACCTATCCGAATTTTATAAAGGAAAATAAACTCCCAGGGGAAATTGGCTTGAAATTTATGAAACGATCTACCAGAGAACTGGTGCTAAAGTCCACGATGGGGAAGTCTTTAAAAATCAAAAATGAAGAGGTAAAAATTCTGAAAGACATTCCCTTTGAAGTGAGAAAGCAGAGGAGACTTTATAAAGAGCTTACTCTCGCTCTACAAAAAAAGGGACTACCCTACAGATGGACATTCCCTGAAGGGCTGAGCTTCAAATATGAGGACAAAAAAGTTAAAATTGACTCTGTTCCTAAAGCGAATAAATTTATGGATCAGTTTTTAAACCCAAAGCGAAACGAGAGAAAAAAGTCCAAAACCTAACGTGGAGGAAGAAGAAGAAGAAGAAGGATCCTACTCACAAGATTCAATAAGCACCAGTTCTAATTCTTCAGAGACATCGGATTCTGAGAAAGGAGAAGCCGCTCCTAAACCCCAGAAAACGAAGAAACGCAAGAAGAAAAGACTCTAAAACTAAGATAATCGTTTAGAATGCAGTTTTTACCAGAAAGTACTTAAAGCAAATTTCAATTTTGTCTCTTTTAACTCTTATATACAACCGTAACCTTGTATTAGTAGGTGATACAACTATATCTTTATGTAACCAGATCGTGTCAATGTGTTAGTTTTTTCCTTTTCCCTTATTCATTAGAATTTTTAGTGCTAGGATATCAGTATTCCTTTCCCTTGTTCCAGTAGATCATTGTATTAGTACCCCTCTCCCTGTTTCCAGTAGGCTTGGTGTTAGAGTGTTAGTATCCTTTTCCCTGATCCCGGTAGGTTTAGGGTTGTAGTAATGGAAAATAATAAAATCTTTTTAAAAAAGTAGTAGTACCCAATTATATAAAATACTCTTCCTAAACCAAAGCTTGAGAGAGTCCTTGTGCTGAACTTCTCATTTCCTTTTTCATCTTTGCTTTTCAAGTGTGAAATCCTGTGTGTCCACCAGGAAGTTGCACTTTTAACGTCTCTTATTACAGGTG